TTTTTGTGGATTGGAAACATTCTGGAGGGTGCCGTGGAAAAATTCGAAAATCGAAAAATAAGGACCACCCTAATATATATATATATATATATATATATATGAATTCGTGGCCGTAACATAAAATGCAATAGACGCTATTCTGGCGGAAGATAAAACATTTGGTACGTCTCTCGTGTATTAGACAACATGCGCCATGTAATCCGTGCATAGCTGGACACAATGCAGTTGATCCGATCTAAAACAATGGATAATACCCGAATTACAATCCAGCCGCGTGACGCAAATATCCGCGTAAGCTCAGCTTTAGCACTGGCATCTGCACTCGTCTCTCTGAAAGCCATCGGAGCGTTCGTGTTTAGAGAATCGTTGATTTTCGGACGCACGAAAGACCCGGAAAACCAGCAAAACGCTGCCGGTCTTTATAAAGTCGGCGATGCGAGAAAAGCCGTAGACCGGTGCGGATGTAACGGGCGGTAATCGCGTCCTGCGCGGGCCGCGCCGAAGTTCTCGGGCTGGCTGCGATTATTACGAGAAAGAAAGCTGGAGACGGCGTCTGCCGAACAAGGGGATCAATGGGACCCGAGCAGTTGCGAGGGAGTAGCCTCCGTGGACCGTGGGGATCGATAGGCGCGCTACTGGATTTCGAGAACGTGGTATCCGCTACTCGATCTAGGCGGAGTAAATGGTCTATTCCGGTTCATCAAATCTGGCGACCTTCCGCCGCCTGCTTCTATACTCCCACCGCGCCTTTCTCTCTCTCTTTCTCTCCCTCGCTATCTCTACATTTATCGCCACCTTTATCGCTCTCCCCGCACGGTCCCGATCGTCGTTTAACTCGGTAACCGTCACTTTCCACTCGCAGCCCCGTTCCTTAATCTCGAGCGCACGTCCGCTCTATTTATCTAAGTAGCCTTGCACAGGGCAGAAACCCCGCTATAAGATCCGGCCGTGCCTCGCCGCTCCCCATGGTCCACGGGAGCTGAAAGTCGATCCGGCCGTGCCTCGCCGCTCCCCATGGTCCACGGGAGCTGAAAGTCGATCCGGCCGGAACGCACGACTTTAGGCGAGGAGAACGACCATCGGATCGGATAAAGTCACTTAAGGGGCGCCGGTATCGCTTTTCCCTGCGAAAATATGGGAAACCCTCGTCGAACCGTTGTCGGCTCGCGTCCTAATTCCCCCGCGACCTCGCTTGTTAAGGGACAATGTAGTTGATAAAGTACACTGACACGTACGGCGCGTTTGCGAAATGTGTATGTATGTGTGTCTGTGTGTGTGTGCCCTCGCGCGTGCGGAAGACGGTCCATGCAAATGCCGCTGGAATGGATGAGCTCAAGACGTGGAAATTGGGCGTTTGTCACGCTGACGGAAGATAAGCGTCCGATAGATTGATCGTCCCGATTCGACGTCGATTCAGAGCCAGCAGCGATTCCAAGTGTTTACTAAAATGTTACTTGAAGCGTATTTCGTGAGACACTCGGGTGAGGATTCAAGACACCGCGTGATTAAGTATTACGCAAGCTTTAAGAGAAACGTGTGTCATATGAAACGGAATTTTTTTTTAAATTCGTCGTTTTGCGTAATAAAAATAATCATTGGTTTTAAACTACTGGCGATGTTAAATCTATTTGCAATTACTTTACGCAAGTAAGTCGAATTTTCTTGAAAGCGACAGTCGAGCGAAGCGGCTGTGTTTTTATCGAACGCGATCGTCGCGGCACATGAGTGTTGCAAGGTTTACGTCGCATCAAATCGAAGCGATGCTGCAAAGCGTCAGTTTAAGATTAACGTAGTTATTTACATCAATTTTCTCGCAATACGATATCGATGAAATCAACGTGACTCAATGATCGCTGCCACGATCGAGGCGCGCGCGGACACCGCGGCATGGCGGGCATCGCGATTTGGGTATTAATTAGGCAAATAACATTGCAAGCTTCGGTATGCGCAAGTAATCCGAGTAATCCCGATTACCGTGCGCGGAAATCCAATGTGCGTGTAATGACGTGGCGGCTTGTAGAAAAGCGTACAGTGAGAACGGAAAAAGTGGCACACAGAAAGAGAAAGAGAGAGAGACAGACATGAAGCAAGAGAGTAGTGTGGTAAACGATTTATTTGCATTCTACGTTTGTTTACAGAGCATCGACTGAGACCTTTCGTTATATAACTCTCCGTCACCGTCTGACCACACTGACCACACTCACGTTTCTCGCCGCGTCATATCCGAAGAACGGCATTCCATTTTGACTCGATTATACGTACCTGGAACAGAGAAAAAATCGTAGCGTTTACAATACGTACGAGTTTACAGCCTCCCGCGCGCCTCGAACAACCACGCGAACAACAACGCCGTGACGTTACGTACGTTAGATATCGGAAAATTGTTACTGATCGCCGACAAATCTCCGCGAAGGCTGAAATTTGCATGGATCGCCCGATGATATTACACGTGTAAATTGCGCACGTGACACTATTAAACTTGGTGCAATTTTTCATCTTGCGTCACGGCGAGCGGCGCGAGCATTTTGATATCGCGAGTGATTACAATTCGTTCGTGCGTGCCGCGCCGGCGAGAACTGAAATTTCTATGGAATTTTTTATAGCGAACGTCAACACCACTACGCTGCTTATACTTTACGAGGAAGTCATTTAAAATTCGTTTTCACACGATGACAAACGGCATCTCTCCGACAGGCGAATTAGATCTCTCTGACGTTATGAATGATTATGAGCCGGCTTAATACAACGAAAAGCGAATATTGCATTGTGGAATTTTGCGCTGCACACAACCGCCAGCCTCGCTACGCGCGAAATTTGCCGTTCCCGTAATAAGATTTTGCACGAAAAACAAGACGGTCATACTTTCCGGCGTGAAATTACAAGAGCCATTTGTGAATTTGAAAACAAACATTTGGTATTTCCGATGAAATCTCGTCCATTGCTGTAATTAATAAGTTAGAAGAGTGCGCCGTACCGTTGCAAAGACTTTTAATTTACTAACAGGAAAAATCTTCGGGGTCGCCAGCAATAATTAACAACATCAAATTTGGCTGACCGTATCTGGCAATTTTTATGTTTAAGGATCGCTACGTTTCGACCGTGGGTTTGGCTCTTTTCAAGCGATCTGACTATACAAAATGAAAGATTTGCAAATTATTACATAAATCCTTTTATTTCGTATAGTCAGATCGCTTGAAAAGGACCCAAACCCATGGTCGAAACGTAGCGACTCTTAAACATAAAAATTGCCAGATACGGTCAAGCAACTTTTAATTTAATTCCATCACGTTGCGCACAATAGAAACGGCGGAGATGAAGGAGATGGGATGGTTTATGGGAAATGTATGTAGAACGCGTAAAAGTGTCACGATTTGATGAATACACAACGAACGGTGCTGTGAGCACCACTTCAGAACTACCATTATGAAGCATTCGGAAGCACCATTTCCTTCCTATCTTTACGAGCGAATTATGCGGCACGGTGGAACCCGACTTTTATTCCTCCGAACGATGGCGTGAAACAATGTCCCCCGGCGCATAATCTGAGGAAATAAGCTATGCAAATTGGTCCATCTTAGATTTTTACGACAATGCCGGGCAAAACGGTAAAAGTAGAGGCTAACTGTCGTTGTTACAAAGCTCACCGGCTGTAGCGTAAAATAATATCGTCGCGTTTCTTTCAAGGCCCCCATACCGCTGTAACGGAATTAAAACCAAATAGTCCCTTTGGTTTTTTTTATGTCAGAGTCCTTTACACCGTACGGCAGAAGTAAGTATACGACAGAACGCAAATTAGACTTCAGTATGCAAGACGGAATTACAGACGCGAAGTGGAACGCCAATTGCAAATGTCCAATTTTGTTCTTGTACGCTTAAGTTAAATCGATATGGTACAATTGGAGCGGCAGCAGGAAGACACATTCAGGAACGAACTTACATACCAGTATTCATACCAGACTAAAGATCTTTAGATAAGTAGGTCGGAGAAAAATTTTAAATGATATGGCAGATATTAGTTCATTCGAACTCGTTAGAACTAAATTTACAAGACAGGTGTACAAATACAGTGAGAAAATCACTACGTGCTGCTGTAATAACCAGATCATGTACACGGGAGAAAAATGCTATTGAAACAACATGAAGTTGCTTGAATTAAACGTTAATGTCACGGGCTGCCACAAACATAAATAATTCACTCAATAGTATTTTTGCTATGGATTTTAATTTTAAGCATTGAGCTAAATATCCAGATTATTAAGACAACAATCTGATGCTTTTCATTTATTAATACCGATGTTTCGACGATTTTATCTCAATTGCACTGATCTTGATACAACATCGTTCGTCTTTTTCCCGTGTACTCAAAGTATGTATTAAATTTCAACCTAAAATGTGCGTGTTAAATTTCAATCTAAAGTTTCATTTCGCAGAGAATTTCGTCTCCCTCACAATTTCTTTCTCTCGGAAAAAAGGCAGCTCTTATACTTTGTTTTCTATTTCCTCCGGTAAGTCGGCCACAGGCTTGGTCGGAGAGATATCTACTAAATTTCTCCGCAATTACCCCCTTTGGTAACGAGCGCCGTCTGTTCCTTGCGATTGGTGAAAGGCGATTAAGCGACAAGAGAATTCATTAGTCACGGATTATCCCGAGACACGCGCGGTGCTCCACAAAATCGGTTTGGTCGCTTCCGGAAGATTTTAGGTCTCGTATGAACTGCCGATGACAGATTGCTATTTGCTACGCGATAGAGCCGCCATTACACCATAATGCCCGTCGTCGCGCCGCCGGCGGAACAAGATTCCTAATTAATCGATCGCTTATCACAGAAAGCGAGCCGGTCTTTCTGTGACGAGGGTACGATGAGGCATGTTTAACCTTAACTACTCGGTAGTTTCGGGAAAGGATTGAAATTTAAGTCCCCCGGAAACTCTACCTCGACTACCAATCTGATTATGATTAAAATTAATGACTGCGAAACGTGGAAGCTGATATTAAATAGCGTAAAACATATTTTATGAAATTATCTCGTGGTGTAATTAGTAATGAAATATCATATAATAGGACCATAATTTCTCTTATTTTTTTGCAAAAACTCCCATTTTCCATTAATATTTCTATGTAATTGTGATTGAAAAAAAAAGTGTTATTTTTCATTAATATTCCTGTATGATTGTGATTGAACGTCTGAAAAAATATATATGTAACATTATGCCACGAGGGAATTGAATGTAGAAAATTAAATAACGCGCGATTTATGTTTCATTGAGCGATTTCGCCATCCCGTTTCTACAGTGATAAGTTTGTGTAATTCGAATAATTAGGTTCAAAAATAATATAATAGAGCGATTCCGGCATTTCGCGACCGTCGTACAGCGCGATGTGATAGATGAGAGACATTAACGTCGGTAGAATGTTTTCGGAAAGAATCCCAGATCTCCCATAGAACGGAGGCGTTCGAGAAGAACTTATCGCGGGAGAGACGATTTATGGTGCAGCGTAGATCGACTTGCGGGATGAGTCGAAGGAGCGGCGAGTCGTCTCGAGCGAATCTTCGCATTGTGCTCGAGACATACCACGCTTACGATGAACGATCAAATCGATGGCTGCAGCGAAACGCGCCGTGGGGTTTACCGCAAAGACACCATGTTAGATTTATATGCAACGAAGAATCCATTGCGGTAACGGTATCTTCGACGTTAAATCCCACGATTTATTGCCGCCATCGTCTGGCGCCTGGTTTCAATTTTTAACGATTTCCGATGTCACGACTTATGTATGGTCACAATATTAATCTGCCTTTTCTCGCGACAGTTTCCCCGACTTGGGGCAATTGATATCGCAAGAATGTTGACAATTAATCCTCATTCGTTAATCGGCGACATTAATTATTTCTTCGTTTGCACTTTCGGGAAAGTCTTACGACGAGACTTACGGGCCCGCGTTTCTGCTGTGACGCGCAATATTTCTGAATAATATTCGTATGTAAAGCGCAAGCTTCGATTGCCGCGAAAATTGAGAATCGAGCAATTAAAGGGACCTTACATTCAATCGGACACCCCCGTGATTGCGATTCCGCGCGTCGAATCATCTGAATCTTAATCTAGCAACGGTTTTAGCAGGAAATTGCGGCTGACAATTGATTTCGTAGCCGGCGTGCCTCCGCAATTTGTCCTCGATCGATCTTAACGGGTTAAATCGCGCTAACGAACGGTAACACTTCAGCACGGCTGTGCACAAATATCGGTACGCGCGCTCCTTTTTCGTTAAGGACATTCTTTTCGTAGGGACGCGCCACGGACGTTTTCCTTCGGGCTACGAAATTCTCGTCAGAAATTTCATCGGAATTTTCATCAGTATCCGCAGCCGTATGTATAATGAAGCAGCCGTTAATGTAGCCGTTGTCGTACAAATGCATTCGTTCAATAATTGAACGAGTCTAGTTATCCCGATAAAGCGATCGCCGCGAGATTGGAATTCAAATTGTAACGGGACACTGTATCATGGATTGGCTCACTGAAAATTACAATTTGCTATTATTTCCGTCGTGCGCAGTGCAGTTGCCGCGGAAACAACCTACCCATACAATATTCGGGCGGGATGCACTTTCGTGAAATATGAATGAGCCTCGCCGGCGTGTACAAAGCTGACCGGTAATAAGATTCCAGCGCGTCGGATACGCGCCCGGGGGGTGCAGCCCGATCTCTCTTTATGCACTTGCGATCTTCGGGGGAGAAAGAATGCTCGTCGTTTTTATCTCGAGCGCGCTTTCACGGGGAAGTGCTTAAAGTGACCGACGTAACTCCGAGTGTCTGCGTAGCCAGAGTTTAATTGCACTCGCGCTGTACACGATGGTCTAGCAATTAGACGCCCCTTGCTACCGGCGGTCCAAGGGACTCGATCTAGCCCGATGCACCCGGGATCCGTACGGTTCGACCATTATACCTAACGGAGCTGCACGCTGGCAGGCCCCGCCATCGGGAATTGAGGTTGACAATTGATTTTGTGGTACATGCGCGCTTCTAATCTAGCCCGATGCCATCGTGACGGATAAAAACACGGGATTTGTCTTCATTTGCAAGAGCGATTATCGCACAGATCGATTTCCCAAAACTTGCAGCAACCTCGTTAATCGGCGATTGATTGATTTGACGAGAGAAAGATTTTTCTCCCTGCTAACTCACGTGTACGCTAACGGACGACGAGCCATGGGTAATCGCAATCGTTGGAACGGTCAAAAAGACGAGGCGTAATTCGATCCCGC